TTCAAAAATTTGGCCTGACTTTCTTAATAATTTTTTCTTAATTCATCCAATTTTTTACTGCATAAGAAAACATGCATTTTCTTTGTATAATATTATACAAATATAATAATATTATACAAAGTATTTGTAGTGAAACAAATTTCTAGAAAGGAAAAATGGTAAATAAGGAGGAAGCGGAAGCAACCGATGTCGTAATGATGGTTTTAGGAGCTAAACCTGAATATCTTCCCAGGTTGGGTAAGCACTGCCCTGGCTTAGTAGGTGAACTTTTTCCTCTTCTCATGAAAGAGAGATCTTCTATCAACATAATCACCTCTTTCAGATATGGCTAAGTAACAAAAATAATGTTCTTCTAGCAGTAGCCTTGCCAGCCAGCTCCTATAATCTTACCTGCATGTCCTGGGACATGTCCTTCGCAGGGTCTAGAGACATAGTCTTCAAGTGTCTAGCACCTGTCACATTCCCACAAAGTCCACGTCACCACTGTCCACCATTACACTGTCTCTCCTCAGTGTCTGCCTCTTCAGTAACCACCTAGACAGGGTCTGCCTGAAGCCTCCTTCATCTGGCCAACAGCAACACATTCCCCAAAGCAGTCTCAGAAGCTGGCAGGGCCAAAACATCACAAAGACAAATGGATTCTCCCTTTTATGACTCTCCATCAAATGTTCTTCAAAGCCTGAAATGGTAAAGAAGGCCTCTTCCCCAAGCTTCAGTCTCTGATCTCCCTGGGATGAGGCTGAACAGAGAAGGATTCTTTCCTGAACTTATTGTCATGCAACATTCCAGGGGTAAGCTAGGAAAGGACCAGCCTCAGTCACATCAACCTTTCCAGCGTCTCCAAAGAAGGAGGTTAGATCAAGTTCAACTTTCTTACAGTGATCTGTACAACTTTCTGTGCTCTGGGCATTGATTCCAACCTCATAATGATTTTGTTTGTATACCCACTTTCTGAATTATGTGCCTTTTTCATGGTTGTCTTAACCTGACTCTTGCAGTAAGTTGTGCCTGACACTAATGCCTCATGGGCAGGAAGTTTATTTGGAAATGTGATCCCAAGGAAGACGAATAATGGACAAAGTAAAATCAGAGAAGGAAGGTTCATTCAAGAAGGCATTACCATGTTGCCCATCACCAAGAACACCTGACAGTCAAGTCCATGCGACTTTTTTTTAACAGCAACTCAGTAAATTTATTGACTTATTTTAGGACTGTAACAATAGAATTGTTGTCATTTTAGCACTTAGTCATTTATAATTGCAAAGACATTGGCTTAGAGGACCTTGGGTAATGGGAAAGGGAGAGAGGGTGACTTTGTAACTTAATTAGCATGTATGATGTCAGCTAATGATTATTGAACAATCCCTGTACCAGACACTGTTATAAATATTCTACTGTTATTAACCTAGTTAGTCCCCCCAGCAACACTGTGAGATAGCTACTACTATTCATTTTATGTGCAAAGAAATTAAAACACTGGTTAGGGTCATAACTTGCCCACAGTCAATGGCTGAGCTGGGACCTGAACTCAGTAAGTCTGGCTGCAGAGTTCACACTTGTAACCATTATTTTACAGTCACTTCTCAAACATAAAGTACCTAATATGGTGCTCTACTCATAGCTCAACATGGTTAGTTCCTCTCAACCATATACTTTCTTACTGAAACTACAAATTGAATGCTGAAACTCATGTCTTACCATTTTTAAAATTGAGTCATATAGTAGTTTCTCCTCCTCCTCCTTCTGCTTCTTTTTCTTCTTCTCTCCTCCTCCTCTTCCTCCTCCTCCTCCTTCCCTTCTTTTTTCTTCTTCTTCTACTTCTTTTTCTTCTTCTTTCCTCCTCCTCCTCCTTCTTCTTTCCTTCTTTTTTCTTCTTCTTCTACTTCTTTTTCTTCTTTCCTCCTCCTCCTTCTTCATCTTCTTCTTCCTCTCCTTCTTCTTCTAATTTAGGTTCCAGAAATACACATGCAGGTTTCTTACATGGATAAATTACATGTTGCTCAGGGTTGGTGTACAAATGAACCCATCACCCAAGTTGTGAGCCCAGTACCTGACAGACAGCCTTCCAACCCATTCCCACCTTCCACCTTTCCCCCAAGTACTCCCGAGTGTCTATTTTTCCCACCTTTGTGTCCCTGTGTATTCAATGCTTGACCACTTATAAGTAAGAACATTCACATTTGGTTTTTGTTCTTGCATTAGTTCACTTAGAATAATGGCCTTCAGCTTCATCTATATTGCACAAAAAACATATTTTAGCAAGGACATGAAGTCAGTCAAGATGCCCAGCAACAGTGGAACTGAATATGGAAAATATGGTACATATACATACATCATAGACTAGTATGCAGCCATAAAAAAATGTCCACGGGACTTTTTGGCAATCTTTAAGAAGTGGTCTCAGAACTCTCTGTCCTGGAGATGAAGGCAGGAAATATTTATCCATAGTCTTCTTTCACTTTCCTTCACTACCGTCATTTGTCAAGTCTGGGCCCATATGCATTGACTCCCCTACACCTCCCAGTTGCACACACAAACACATTCCATGAGTGCCCTGTACGGCAGTATCATAGGAGCCCCAGACCAAAAAGAAAGAGGCATGCAGTATGGTCCTGCAGAGAACTTTACCAGGTATCTCCTGTACAAAGCCCATCCAAGCCTGCATGAAAAGGGCCATATGACAGTGTATGAATAACAGGTAGGGTAGAGAGAATTTGTAGGGCTATCCATGAGGTGTCAGGTACAGTTAATCAGCAAGTCCAAGAAAGATCAGGCTTTGCTATTAATAAAAACAATTAGCAGCATTCTCTCATCCTGAGAAGGACAGACATGAAAGTCAGAAGCATATGTGGAGATATTAGTTGCAATTGGCAGCCGTATGGCTTCCCAGCAGATCCATGGCTGATTCAGCACTACTGATGAGGAAATTGAGCTTTCTTGTAGAGTGAGAAAAAAAATTGGCCGGGGGTAGGATGGGAGTGGGGGTCTTTAGACAAAACAGCAGAAGAGTAAAATGAGAAAGTCTAGAAGCTAGAATGAGAGCAGTGCTGACTGAGGGAGAGGAGATAAGTCAAGTGGGTGCATCAGGTCAACACCTAAAGGGCATCTTGAATGAAAGTTCCCCCAAGACATATGGGTCTAGGAAAGACATGAGAGCCTCAGAGCTGAGGCTCAGGTTAGCCAGGTCCTGGGCCTGTTGGCCTGGAGGGCTGAAAAGCAGAAGAAGCAGGTTGCCTTGGGCCTGATAATCTCACCATATTGGAGACAAGGTGTGCTTATAATTCCCTTTGTAGGGTCTACAGGGAGCACATTTGAGGAGAGGCTTGTGTCCAAGTCTAAAGAAGAGCTCAACTGAAGCAAGTGGCATGATGATGGCAGTGGCCACAGACCAAAGCGAGGTGACTACTTAAAAAGTAGAGGGAGAAATAGATAAGTGAATGTATTAGTTCATTTTCATGCTGCTGACAAAGACATAACCAAGACTGGGCAATTTACAAAAGAAAGAGGTTTAATGGACTTGCAGTTCCACATGGCTGGAGACGCCTCGCAATCACAGCGGAAGACAAGGAGAAGCTCATCACATCTTACATGGATGGCAGTAGGCAAAGAGACCACTTGTACAGGGGAACTCCACTTTTTTAAATCCAACAGATCAAAAAAAATTAAAAATAAATAAAACTATCAGATCTCATGAGACTTATTCACTATCATGAGAACAGCATGGGGAAGACCTGCCCCCATGATTCAATTACCTCCGACGAGGTGGCTCCCACAACAGGTGGGAATTAAAGATGAGAGTTGGGTGGGGACACACCAAACCACAGTGGATAAAGTAACAGAAACATCTGTCTCTTGCTGAGCTTTTACAGCTTTTCTCAGCTTTTTTCTTATGAGCCTCCTGCAAGGAAGGATTTCCCCTACAAAAAATTTCCTGGTAGTCCTCAAAGCAGGCTCTGGTGTCTCTTTGCAAATAACATCACCCGTCCATCTCTCCATCCTTCCATTTACTCATTTATTCTATAATTGTCAATTCTCTGAGCAGCTACTACACACCAGACATCATGTGAGGATGGAAGGTAGAACAATGGCTAAGCAGAGGAACCTCTAGTGGTGGCTGGCTGGTCCTGGGCTCAAGTTTATTCGAAGTGACACAGCTGTGCAGCCAGCAGGTGCTCTATAAACATTTAGGTAAGAGGAAATAATGACGGAGGGACCACTCAACACCTGGGTTTCAAGGATAGTTTGGATTCTCCAAAGACCATACTTGCAGCAGGTTGCAAACTGCAAGGCAGTGAGCTAAGTTTCATCTTATCCTGAGGAGAGTGAACTTTGATATAAGGGCTGAGGGAATCCCAGCTCCTTTGTTCCCATGTTGACTGCAGGATCCCCATGAGAGCCAGGGTCTTCAGGGCCTGCTGTCACATTTGACAGAATAAATGGATGGGCTGACAGGGCCAGGTTGCTCCAGAGCTTCGAATGTGACTGTTCTTCCCAGAGCTTCACTGCCTGGAGCTCTCCTTCATTGACTGAGGTCTGCCTGCCCTTATGCTGTTTCCCCTGAGTTCCCCCTTGGAGAAAAGTCTTTTTAGAACCAAAAGAATCATTTTAGCTTCTCCTTTCCCCTGCCAGGCATGAGTATACCGAGTGATGGATTAACAGAATATTACTTTTTTACACCTGGGACAATTCAGGTCACCATGCCCTTGGCCTCCCAGAAATATCTATTATTTATCTCTACATCCACTTCAAATATTAAACAGCCCCATAAGTGTCACCTGTGCTAAAGATTAGACCCTTCCAGAAGATATGACTGTTTCTGGTTCCAGCAGCCCCAGAATGTCTTCCTTCTTTCTCTTTCAGCCTACACCCTTCCTGTAAGCACTACACCTGGGAGCAAAGCGTACTCAGGGGGATAAAGCCCAGGTGACATCCTTGTCAGACAGCAAGTGCCACAAGTTTCATCACAAAAGTTGAGTCAACAGGTGGATGAGGGAAGAGGGGTGAATCATGTCTGACAAGTAAAGAATGAAGGCACAGCAGCCCAGACAGATCCTGTTTCCTTGAGGCAGGGCTTGCTCCCTGCATAAAAAGCCAGTTGGCTGGGAACACTATTCCAGCATTGAGGGGCCATACGGACTATTCCTCTCTGCACACCAGGTGAGTCTCTTTATTGGAACTCTTTACCATCCATTCTAGGTGTTTAATTTCTATTAGTGTCTCAGCATTCTTGATATCTTTTTTTCCCTCATTATTGAATTTGGCCATAGCCATGCAGACTGTTCAATTGAATTATAACCTCTAGGAATATCTTTGTTTTAAAAGTAATCATACTGTGGGCTTGATGAGACTACAGATATTGTCAGTTCTTCTTCATTCATTCTTTCTGTGTCAGCAAGCAGGGGATTGGTTTGTTCAAGGATTCATAGTACGTTTACAATAAAGCAAGGACTAGAAGCCAGGTCCACAGCACTTTCCCTGACATTATAATTCCCTCTTATTTATAATTTTAGTACAGAGAATTTTATTCTTTAAACAGATACTTTAGTGAGAGCTTGCTATATTTGGCAATTTGGTTAAAAATAAAGAATTTAAGCAGCAGAAAATGCACCCTATGATGCTACAATTCATTCAGCAAATAAGAACTAAAATGCAATGTATGATAGTGACTTATCAAGGCCAGGTGATTAGGGCAAGTGCCGTAACAGTTTGGAAATACAGAGATTTCTGGAAGGTTTTCTCTAGAGAAGCCACTAAAAGTCCTATATGAAATAATCCGTGGCGGTTGGTTAGTGCTCAAACAGGCAGGAACAAGGAAAACATTTAAGACAGAGGAGCGGGCCGGGCGCGGTGGCTCACGCCTGTAATACCAGCACTTTGGGAGGCCGAGGCGGGTGGATCACAAGGTCAAGAGATCGAGACCATCCTGGTCAACATGGTGAAACCCCGTCTCTACTAAAAATACAAAAAATCAGCTGGGCATGGTGGCACATGCCTGTAATCCCAGCTACTCAGGAGGCTGAGGCAGGAGAATTGCCTGAACCCAGGAGGCTGAGGCTGCGGTGAGCCGAGATCGCACCATTGCACTCCAGCCTGGGTAACGAGAGCGAAACTCCGTCTCAAAAAAAATAAAATAAAATAAAAAGACAGAGGAGCACTTGAGCCAGGCCAGAGGTGGTATTGTGTGGGGCTCTAGAGAGGACAGAGCTATACAATAGATGATAAGCCATGCTATGTTTCAGAAATGAGTGAGTAGATTGAATTTATTAGTTTTTTTTTTTTTCAAATAACCTCGCATTTCCAATGATCCAGTATTTCACGTTCCTGCTAGAAGCCTCTTGTTGTGCTGTGTAGGAGGAAAAAGAGCACCAGGAACGGCCCTGCTCCAGTGGAGGAAGAGCAAATCATCTTTAAGTTCCTCTTTTTCAGAGACTCGGAAATTAATCAAGTATTCTTTGTGGTCAAGAAGGGGAAGAACATTGGCTTTTTAAGGGACCTGAAGTGCTATTTACCATGGCTTCTTCCCTAGTTATTCTCCATTTAAATCATCTGTTCTTTTTCTAGGACCAGCCACTGTTGAAGCATGAGCTCCCAGCAGCAGAAGCAGCCCTGCGCCCCACCCCCTCAGCTCCAGCAGCAGCAGGTGAAACAGCCTTGCCAGCCTCCACCCCAGGAGCCATGTATCCCCAAAACCAAGGAGCCTTGCCACCCCAAAGTGCCTGAGCCCTGCCAGCCCAAGGTTCCAGAGCCCTGCCAGCCCAAGGTTCCAGAGCCCTGCCACCCCAAGCTGCCTGAGCCCTGCCCTTCAACAGTCACTCCAGCACCAGCTCAGCAGAAGACCACGCAGAAGTAATGTGGTCCACAGCCATGCCCTGGAGGAGCCGGCCACCAGATGCTGAATCCCCTATCCCATTCTGCTTACGAGTCCCATTTGCCTTGCAATTAGCATTCTGTCTCCCCGAAAAAAGAATGTGCTATGAGGCTTTCTTTCCAGCACGCTCTGAGTCTCTGAATGAAGCGGAAATCTTACTACCAGAGCTAGTTTTCAGCTGCTCACAATTCATCTGAAGAGAGACTTAAGATGAAAGCAAACGATTCAGCTCCTTTATACCCCCATTAAATTCACTTTCAGTTCCACTCTTGACTGTGTGTCGTTGACTCTACAACTTCATTCCTTTCCCTCATGAAACAGGAGCTATACGCAGAGCTGGGTTGGTGAAGAAGGACTTTGTCCAGAAGGCATCTGATGCTCACACTAGGAGGGTGGGGGAGCTGCCCCACCAAGCATTCCTGGGCTGCCTATGGGAGGCTGTGCAATGCCACCTAGAGGCTGCTTTAAGCATGCAGGGCTGGAGCAGGGCTCTCTCTTGCAACTCGGTGAGTCACGCCAGAATTTACTTAGCACCTGTCTAAGCTGACCCTGACTCACTAATACTGAATGCCTTCTCTCTAAATCTGGCTTTTAGACTGCTAACTTATTCAGCCAATTCCTGCTTCTTTCACGTAATGTTGTTCCTACATACGCTAACCTGCTTCTTCTCACTCATTTCTCTCTGATACCTACAACCTAGATTTCCAAACACATCCAAAGACACACAGACTCCGTTCCTTATCTCAATTAGTCATTTCTAGTCTCTGAGTGCCAACTCTGGACCAGAAACAGAATAAGGGGGATTTGTGGTGCTTGTCAGGGGCATTTACAGTGTCCTCGAGGAATGTACTTCATTCCCTACCCCACCCCTCATTCAAACACACATACACACATATACAACCACACACAGGAGATCTGGAGTCCTCACAGAGTAACGCACAAAAGCTAATCCAGTTTAGAGACTGCTTCTTTCACATAGGTGGGAACCACGGAAGTGAGAACCGTAAAACCCACTCCCACTCATCTCCCTACAGTATCAACGTGTTTCAAGTCAGATTTTAAAAGACAGAATTATCGACAGTGTACTCATATATATGTGTATGTATATTTATATTGATAGAAAAAGTTACTTATGTTTGTAATTGGGAGACAAAGCAAGTTGTTCTGTAGCAGTATAAAAGAGATTTTTTTTCTTAGGTTGGAAAATGAAATAATAAAAAAATTGCATGCCATTGGTATAACTCAAGAAATTGTGATACTTTTGATCATGGCATTTTTACTTGATTGTGTTATTTAAAATTACAAAGCCCATATGAAAAATGTTTACCCTAAAAGCTTTATTACCCTAAAGGTTTTTTTGTTTAATTAGTAGGTAAAATCTACCATCATATCCAAGTATAAGTGCTTCCTAGCACCAAACCAATTAGCCAAGCAGAAAAAAAAAGTTGTAATCATATGCTAGTATTAGTTAGCATAGGTTCGCTTCTATAACAAACACCCCCCTATATTGTTAGAACTCCATCAAGTAAAAGTTATTTTCCACGCATGTAAAAATCCAATATAGATTAGTAAACTCTTTTTTCTGCATAGTCATGAAGAGACACAGTCTCACTATCTCTGAGTGCTGTGCCCTATAATCCAAGCACAAGAACAGGTATTAGACTGAATATAGAGAAGATTCCCCAGGGAACTTATCCACTTGGAAAGAGAAATGGCATGCCTAACCTCAGTTCTTATTGATTTGTGTAGAACTTGGTCACATAGCCCTATCTACCTCACAAAGTTAAGAAATGTAGTTTACTGATGTGCTCAGAAAGAAAGACACAGATTTGGGTGACCTCCTCAAGCTTCAGCCACAGAATAACCTTGTTCTAAAATATCCATCTGTTCCTTTTGTCTCATAAGCAGAACACAATCCTCCAAGGAAAGAAAAACCTTTTGGTACCTGCAAGTTCAAAATCTGGGCTCTCTAGATGACGTGAACTTATCTCCATCATGTCTTCCTATGGCTCCTTTTGTTCAGAAAACTATGAAACAAACAAACGGGCCATTTTTCCTATTACTCAGCATCCAATGTCAATGCAGATACAGGAAAACTAAATCAAAACTACCCAGTGCAAAGGAAGATAATGGTGACACATGGCAGCCACTGGGCCTTAGTACTCTGAAATCCAACTGGGCAGGCATTGTGAAGCCACACTCTTTCCATTCCAATATACCAGAAGTGGTAGAAGTTCCTTTTAAGGTGTTGATTCTGTTCTCTGGAAGGAGCTCCTTTTAACTTTGCTATTCACTTTTTTGCCATAGGTAGAATTATCCCTTTTTTATACTATTCTCTATAATCAAACCTGAAGTGTGTACTGTGGACTATGCCCTTCTTGGTTAGGTAACTTTGCAGTTCACTTTTCTTTCAAAAATTTTTTGTTATTTTTTTCTTTTCTATAGTTTCAACTTTTTTTTTAGATTCAGGAGGTTTGTTTCTGTGTTCCCACCCAAATCTCATGTGGAACTGTAATCCTCAATGTTGGAGGAGGGGCCTGGTGGAGGTGATTGGATCATGGGGGCAGACTTCCCCCTTGCTGTTCTCATGATAGCGAGTGAGCTCTCACAAGATCTTGTTGTTTAAAAGTGTGTAGCACTTCCACCTTTACTCTTGTCCTGCTCTGTCACGTGAAGATGTGCCTGCTTCCTTTTTGCCTTCTGCCATAATTGTAAGTTTCCTGAGGCCTTCCCAGCCATGCTTCCAGTACAGCCTATGGAACTGTGAGTCAATGAAACCTCTTTTCTTTCTAAATTACCCAGTCTCAGATAGTTCTTTATAGCAATATAAGAATGGATACACTTGTAGGTTTGTTACAAGGGTGTATTGTGTGATGCTGAGGCTTGACTATGAATAAGCCATCACCCAAATAGTGAGCATAGAACCCAACAGGTAGTTTTTCAGCCCTTAACCCCTTCCATTTCTTCCCTCCTCTGTTAGTCCCCTGTGTCTATTGTTGCCATCTTTATGCCCATGAGTATCCAATGTTCAGCTCCCATTTGCAAGTGAGAACGTGTGATATGTAGCTTTCTGTTCTCACATTAATTTGCTTAGGATAGTGGCCTCCAACTCCATCCATGTTACTGCAAAGAACATGATTTCATTCTTTTTTATGGCTGTGTAACATTCCATGGTGTATATGTACCACATTTTCTTTATCCAATTCACTGTTGATGGGCACCTAGGTTGATTCCATGACTTTGCTATTGTGAATAGTACAGCAATAAACATACAAGTGGATGTGTCTTTTTGTTAGAATAATCTATTTTCTTTTGTATATATACCCTGTAATGAGATTGCTGGGTGAAATGGTAGCTCCATTTTAAGTTCTTCAAAAAACCTCCAAACTGCTTTCCACAACGGCTGAACTAATTTACATTCCCATCAATAGTGTATAAAAGTTCTCTCTTCTCCACAGTCTTGCCAGCAACTGTTGTTTTTTTACTTTTTAAATAATAGCCATTCTAACTGGTGTGAGATGGTATCTCATTGTGATTCCGATTTACATTTCTGTGGTGATTAGTGATGTTGAACATTATTTCATGTTTTTTGGTCACTTCTGTATCTTCTTTTGAGAAGTGTCTGTTCATGTTTTTTGCCCACTTTTTAATGTGATTATTTGGTTTTTGCTTGTAGTGTTGTTTAAGTTCCTTATGGATTCAGGATATTAGAACTTTGTCAGATGATTTTTTTTTTGAGAGTACAATGGTGTGATCTGACCTCCCGTCGGCTCACTGCAACCTCTGCCTCCCAGGTTCCACCTCCCAGGTTCAAGCAATTCTCTGCCTCAGCCTCCCGAATAACTGGGATTACACACAGCCGGGTAATTTTTTTTTATTTTTGATAGAGAGGGGATTTCGCCATCTTGGCCAGGCTGGCCTTGAACTCCTGACCTCGTGATCTGCCCACCTCGGCCTCCCAAAGTGCTCACATTACAGAGGTGAGCCACCACGCCCGGCCCTTTGTCAGATGATTTACAGATATCTTCTCCCATTTAGCAGGTTGTCTGCTTGCTCTGTTGATAGGTTCTTTTGCTGTGAAGAGGCTCTTTCATTTAGTTGGGTCCTACTTGTCAATTTTTAGTTTTGTTACAATTGTTAAGAAATTGGTCATAAACTCTTTCCCAAGACCAGTATCTAGAATGGTGTTTCCTAGGTTTTTTCTAGGATTCTTATATTTTGAGGACTTACATTTAAATCTTTAATTCACCTTGAGTTAATTTTTCAGATGGTGAAAGATAGAGGTCCAGTTTCATTCTTCTGCACATGGCTAGCCAGTTAGCCCAGCACCATTTATTTAATAGAGAGTTCTTTCCCTATTGCTCATTTTTGTTGACGTTGTCAACAATTAGATGGCTGTAGGTGTGCAGCTTTATTTCTGGGTTCTCTATTCTGTTTCATTGGTCTCTGTGTCTGTTTTTGTACCAGTACCATCCTGTTTTGGTTACTATAGCTTTATAGAATAGCTTAAAGGCAAGTAATGTGATTCCTTGTTCTTTTTGTTTAGGATTGCTTTAGCTATTTGAACTCTCTTTTGGTTTCATATGAATTTTAGAATAGGTTTTTCTAATTCTGTGAAAAATAGCATTCATAGTTTGAAAGGAATAATGTTGAATCTGTTGATTGCTTTGGGCAGTATGGCCATTTAACAATGTACAAAGTCAGTAACATTTGTATACATCAATGATGTTCAAACTGAGAGTCAGATCAAAAACAGAATCCTATTTACAATGGCCACACACACAAAAAATAACTAGGAATACATAGAATCAAGGAGGTGAAAGGAAGAGCAAGAGCATAAAACATCTCTACAGGGAGAACTGTAAAACACTGCTGAAAGAAATCATAGATAACACAAACAAAAAAGTTTCATGTTCATGGATTGGAAGAATGCAGTTCACTTTCTAACTAAGTGTCATTTAAGGATCTTGGAAAGCTGTTTTGCTTCATTTCATTTTATTTTAAGATCTTGCTTGTGGTGGACTTTGGAAACATGATTCCTCAAAAATTTAGTAGACTTCTAATCTGTTTGCTCCTAGCCAGTTCTATATGCTAGTAACTATACCTACATTTCTTTCACAGATGAAATTCTTGTGCTTATCTTATTTATTGCTTCCTTTTTCCATGTCTTTCTTCCTTTACTGTGGCTCCTTTGACACTATTTGGGAAAATAAACTTAGGTGGGATGACATCAAAACTTAATCTAATCTTAACTGCAAACCTGAGT